TTTTGTTTACTAAGCCTAGCTTGTTCCTACTTCAGAATGTTTTCTTTCTGGGACTTGTGGATGAAATTTTATACATGCATAAAAAGTCTAGAAGTGGAGTTTCTGATAGTCTGTCTTTACTGTTGAATAATCACCTCATTGTCTTCCCTTAGTAGACTCCTGAGAAACCAAGAGTAAGATCTGTGGTTCCCATCCTCCTGGTACAAAGTTGTGTTCACTGACAGCCTTTATACAGTTGCCTTCTTGTTGGCTTCAGCTTCATTTCCCTGCTGTGGTTCCCTTCTGTTTGCTGTGGTCCATCTTGTTATTTCATTTTTGCTATTTTGTATGTGATTGTGAGAGCCATGATCATTTCCCCCCTCTTTTCCTGGGTGCAGAAAGATAAGGATTTCACTGGCTGAGACCGTTGTGGCTGGCAGTAGCGTTTGAATTCTGGTGTGTTAGCTGCATGCATCCTATTTTAATCTTGCTTCCTGTGGAAGTGCCTCAGGGACACAGTGTATTGCTAAATTTAGTGTGATGGATACTGGATCACACAGTTTCTGCCAGACCCTAGGCAAAGCCTTGGAGGTCGTTCACGTCTGTACATGAAGAATAAAGTTCTTCAAAAGTAGTTTTTACATGAAAGATTCTTAGTGACTAACAAAGCACCCAAATCATTGAATTTCAATGCAATTAAAAGAGTCTTGGGGGCTGGAGAGATGGCGCAGAGGTTAAGAGCACACTGCTGCTCTTGCAGAGGACCTAAGTTTAATTCCAGGCACCATGTCAGATGGCTCACAGTTCTAACTTGAGGGGATCTGATGTTCTTTTCTGACCTCTGTAGTGTGTATACACAAAAAAATTTAAAAATTTTTTGGAGGCATTAAATTACATACACTTTAGTTATTTTCTGTCTCCTTATCTGTTAGAGGGTGATATTTCTCTAAACACCATTGAAATTTGTACATTAAATAGGCTTCATGAAGTTTACAGAAAAGCAGAAAATGAAAGTGAGGTATTAGAACTAAAATAGTTCACAGGAACTGGATGGCTTGGTGGGTCAAGTGCTGTAGTTCAGATCACCAGCACCCATGTAAAAGGTGGCTGTGTTAACATAACATGCATCTGTAACTTCATAGCTGGGGGTCAGAGACACATAGACACTGGGGACTTGCTGGTCAGGCAGTCTTGCCCAATTGGTGAGCTGGAAGTTCACCTAGAAACTCTCCAAACAAACATGGAGAACAGTAGATGAAGACACCTGATACAGACTCTGACACACATACACACACCCTACACCCCACGCCCCACACCCCAAAAGCAAAGAAAGAGCTACAAGTTCTTCAGTGTTTCCATTGAGATAAATACAAGGAATTGGTACAGAAATAACTTTTTCTTGATGTAAGAAGGGAAAGTTTAGAGTAATATAGTTTATCGATTCTTCAGTATCCTTGATACTTTTTTTAAAAAAAAACTTTTAAAATGATAGCTAGTAATGATGTCTTTCAGTTGCTTGCTTAGTTAGTTATTTCACCACACAGCCTATTTATTTGTTTGTTTTGGCACACAGTTTTGCTCCGCATTCCAGGCTGCCCTCAAACTAGCGATCCTCCTGTTATCTGTTGAGTGGTGAGGTGACAGGTGTGTGCTACCAGTTTGGCCAGCTGATGATATTGATGAGCTAGGAGGAGTAACACTATGCGTTTTCAATATATCGTTATCTCTCCCAGCACCTGGGTAATATAGATGCCCCTCATGAGATCCCCCACACACCACGTTTTTGTTTGAGTAACCTAGTGCTGATTGACAAGGCTGAAAATTCTTCATACACACAATGGAGTTCAATCCCAAAACCAATTTTAGGTATATAACATTCTCTGCATGCCACAAAGGATTCTCTAGGCTCTTTAGTGAATGTGGTAGAAGCTATCCTCTAACATTGTGTCATCCTTCAGGAAGTCATTTACTCTATATAGGCAAGGAATAGAAGGCCCTGAGCATGCTGGACCCTGGGATGTTAAGCCAGCTGGTTTTGTGTTAGCGTCTCTGACCTGGGATCTGTGCTCTTAATTCCTAGAGAGAATAGAGTCATAAAAACTGTCTGCTTCATACCCAGAGATAAAGACTCAGAGACCATAGTGTTCCTTGCGGGTTCTTTTTAGTTTTGAGTCAAGGAACCAAAAGGGTGTATTCTGCAAAGAATAAATCTGGCAAGACAGCCCTGGACTCTGCATAAGAAGCAGAGGGTTTGATAATGGGTGTGAAGGACAGAGGTGATGACTGTGCTGCAGGTCTGAACAGGGTAAGTAAGTTCTCTCCAAGGGCGTGAGACTAGGCAATGGGAAACCTGTTAGGAGACCTGCTTAGTTACCCTGAACAAGGAATGAAGGGTGGGTGGGTCTAGACATATGGCATTCATAAAACTGGTGAGCACGATTGCAAAGCTGTGGATGAAGCCAATCTGCCAGTTTGCTGATCATAGGAAATCATTGCCTGTGTTCATTTTTCTCCCTACCTTCCTCAGATAATAACTGCATGTTTGTGTCCTTTTAGCTCCTCACACTGTCCACAGTGGAATGCACCACTCCAATAGAATTAAAATAGTTGCCCTCTCTCCCGTACGTGGGGCACTTAGCTTAAGGTCTCTAGTAGATTCCTAATAAAGCTTGTATTACATTTTATTTTTCCTATGCCAACTACATATGTGTAAGAAAAATGGAATTTATGTTACCACAGTAAGATACATAATACAGTATGTAACAGTAATACAACAGTTGTAACAGTATACTATGATAAGAACTACATGAATGTGAATTTCCCTTACGATATCATTATGTGGTACCCACTGTTCTTGTGATGCCTTTGTAATGAAGTGAAATGAGGTGGCTAAGTAAGTTTAGCATGAACGTTATTATTAAGTAAAATAAGAAATATCTGATTACATGAGTATTGTAGTGCTATGTGTGACAAGCCGTATAATAATGAATGTCCTCTAATTGACCAATATGGGGGCTGGTATGTATAGTGTAGATTGCCGAACTAAGGGATGAATCTTACTTTGGATGAGACAGGGGGACAGTACAAGAATCCATACAAATCGTAGTTGTGTGCCATTTAAAACAAAGGAATTGTTTAGTTGCAGAATTTTGCACTTAATACTTTTAGACCACATATAGCTGAAACTAACATCTCAGATAAGGGTGAACTGCTGTATGTGATTATAGGATTTGTAACAGCGACCCTACTTTTCTACCATTCCACACTAAGAACATTTTCATATTCAATTGTAGTAACCACTGTGGAGACTATACTCATGCATGCGCGTGACGCACACACACATGCAGAGAGACACCATACATATATAATAAAAATAAATAAGAGTGCAGTCCACTACAGTGTGGCTGCTGTGTCAGTGCCAGTTATAGCTTGAGGTCTGCCCTCAGTGGCTTACTTCGGCCATGACTCAGTTCTTAAAAGTCTCATAGCTTTTCCAAACAGTGCTACCAGCGGGAGACCAAGATTTTAAATATGTGAACAGGTATCTTGGAGCTGACTTTGCCAGCTGCAGATGTTTCAAAGCTGCTGGCCATGAATTCTTTCAGCCTACACTGGCTGGGCATGCAGCTGGTTTTTTTTTTTTTTTTTTTTTTTGGTCTATATCTAAATGCCTCTGTTTCCCTGCCTGGGGTTAGAGGAAGGCAACACACCAAAGAGTTAGAATCCTCAGTTTCCCTTTCTCTTTGTCCTTGCCCCATCGGCCAGGAAGGCCCTTTAGGTTTTCCCTGGGCTGAGAATATGTAGACATGAAAACAAGACTGTTCTAAAGTCTTGAAATAAAGACATGAAAAAAGACACAGAGGATAAGTGAGAATTGCTGCTGTTCTCTGAGATACCACAGGAAGCTCACAGTTCAGTGGACATGGTTCAGCAGTAGGGATCACGCATAGTGGACACACTCATAGTCATGACTTCTTAGCCCTACCCACATTGGAAGCTAATGTAGGGATTGCAAGCTTAGCTTGCTCTGGAGTGTGTCTTGAGGTGTTACCTGTGCTGGTATAGATATGAGCTCTCTGGAAGTCAGTTGACCATGGTTCTTTATATTCACGTGCACATGTGTGTGTTTGAATTTGTCCACAGAACTATTTGTCACTGTAAAGTAGGGACATCACATGTTCTGACAATCCTCCTCTCTTGCCTGTGCCCAGTGAGAGCCCTCTCTTCCACCTTAAGCTTTCCCTACCTTATGCTCTTAGACCAGAAAATTCTAAACAGGCTGTTTATGTCCTTTGGGTTGCTTTGTGTATCTGGGAAACAGCTGTTTCAATCGGCACAGTCAGAGTGACTATGTAGGCTACTATGTAGCCCAGACTAGTCTTGAACGTAAGATCCTTCTGTTTCTGGTCTCTAATTCCTGGGATTAAAGTTGTGTATCACTGCATTCTGCCCATTTAAAATTATTTTAGTCTTACCTTTACTTGAAAGATCTTCAGTTTTCACTTGGTGTTCTTTTGGATGACAGAGGAGGTTGTGTTAGCATTGAGAAGGTTCCTGGGGGGATTTCTGTAACTGAGAAATGTCATTTATAGGCTGCTACTGAGAATTCTGAGATCAGGATAAACTGAGCAAGTTTGTGTGAACTGTCTCTCTGTGTACTTTATGCAGCTGTATAGTCATTAAGTTCATTAGTGATGGCTTCCTGCCACCTTATGTGGTTCTTAGTAAAGCTACAGAATGCTCCTATTGTATAGTTGAGGAGCTCTTCAGGGGGTATGTGCAAAGGAATGCATCCTTAGATTTTTGCTGGGTGGGCATCCATAGAGTACATGCACTGGAAGCAACCTAGAAGTGTATGGGCTCACTGTCTTATATGTGGTCCTTTGTTGACTAAAGCGTCTACATGCAGACTGACTAGATTTAACTAAATCACCTCTGTCTAGTAATAAGATGTAGACATATATACTTCAGCATGTATTGGTTGATATTTTTACCTTACTTTGGCTATTTTTCATTAACAGGTAATTGAAGATAGACGAGAAATCTGAAAGAAAAGGATTTACCTGCGTTTACTTCTGAGTAAGTGAAATCGTAAAATAGTTTCTCACTATGTAGTGACAACATGTGAGTCTTCCTGTGTTTCCTGAGCTTAAAAAAATGTGATAATATTGGGTTTCTGCATTGGAAATGGTGATTTACCAACATTTGTTGCAATTGGCTGATTTGACTAGCAAATGGCTGAGAAGGACAGGATGAGCAATATCAGCAGGAATTCATAATAAACGGCTTTCACATTGTTTTCTTAGATGTGCTGGACCTGGAACCCTGGACCTTGTACATGCTAGCAAGGTACCAAGCTGCACTCCTAAACACACAAAACCTTTAGTTTAGCTTTAGGAAGTTAGAGATTTATACCTTTTAAAAAATTTTTTTTTACAGTACCGGGATTGACTGTCTGTGTATGCTGCAGGTGCTTTGCCGCCAAGCTACACCCTCAGTCCTGTATCAATTTTAGAAAACAAACATGGAGAGTGACCATAGTGTGTGTACTTTTCAGTGGAGCATAGCTGCTGATCTCTTTTGCCATGTACATATGAAGTTCTTATTTTACCCTGACTTTTAAAAACAAATTGAAAGCACTTGGCTCTGATTCCTATATCCTAGGCTTTCAGATGCTCCTCATGAAATTAGTGTGGAAGTGAACTAAGCCTTGAAAGTCTGTGTATGTCAGCCAGATTTTTCCATAAACATCTTTTGGCCAGATTCTGAGGTAGCATGGTTAGTAAATGGCTGCTGGGGAAGCATTTTTATTAGTGCTGGTATGGGTTGTTTATCAAAACCAGAAGGAGGCAGCCTCTGGTAGAATGGGACCTTTGGAAGCTGATAGGCTCGTTGTCCTTCCTTTGTCACTAGGTTTCGATTGAAAGCATCTGTTATAGGCACTTTTAATAAAGAGTCTCATTGCTGGCAGTCCTTGACCTGTTACTTCTGTCTTGTAGAGAGCACAGAGTTATGTGATGTAGATTTGAGTTTATTCGGAGTAGGAGCCACAGGGTGTGAGCGCAGGGTATGTCTTTTGCTAAGCACTTCCCACCTAACGTTTGTTGGTTCTTGGTAGCAGCTTTTCTGAGATGAGATAGTTTACCCATTTGATGCACACAGTGTAGTGATTTTTACTATATTCAAGAAATCATATCCCCACCATCATGTTTACAATAGTTTACCAATTCCTAAAGAAACTTTGTTACCAGTCTCTCCCCAGCTCATAAGTACCATACACCCACTTTCTGTGTGTGCATTTGCTTAGCCTTTTGTGTGTGCTGGTTTCCACTCGAAGACTGTTTTCGGGGACTAAAGTGTGGTTTGGTATCGATGTTTCATTTCTTAGTAGACTCAAATGCTATTGCGTCATCTGCTCATTCATGCACCACACAGTCATTTTGGAAACTTTCTCTTCTCTTCCTGTGGTGATGGATACCACACTCAGGGCATTGCACATGCTTGGCCAGCAGTCTACCAATGAACTGTGTTCTCCAAGCCTTTTTATTTTTCTTATTAATAAGACATAAGGTCTCTCTGTGTTGCTCAGCCTGACCTCTAACTCACACTCATGCTTTACCCTCTGGAGTGCAGGTATGTACCACCATGCTGCTCAAAACCTTTTACTTTGAAACCTGGGAAAACTCACCAGCGAGTTACCAACATATTACTCTGATTTCCTGTCCTTCACCTTTTCTAGTAGTAGTCACATTGTCCTGTTGTCCTACAAGACAATCTGTCAGTATATGTACCTTTGAGTGTGCATTTATGAAAGAGAGAGACAGAAAGACGCGCGCGCACACGTGAATGCACACACAGAGGAAGCAGATTCTTACAATATACAGTACTTCAGGAAGAAGTGACATGTCCTCAGATCCCCTAATGTCTATGCTCTCAGTGTAACTGTACATTGGGAAAATAATCACCATACTATATTAGGTCATTCAGGTTGAACTAAAATCCTCCCCTCCAAATACATACCCTTTTTCCTCATTAGAATACATGTGGGCATTTAAAAATAATAATAAAATAAACTAAAATAATAATAAACTGGAGTAGTATGAAACAGACTGAGAAAAGAAAGTGAGCCAAAACAAAAGTACAAGAATCACCTAAACACGTGTTGGTTTGAAATCCCATAAAAACACAACACAGGAAACCATAATATATACTCAAAGACTTGTAAGGAAGGAAAAAGATAATGCCCAGTCAAAGCATTATGATACAAGCAGAGAACCTCCAAAAATACCATTGAATTTGTTTTGTATTGGCCAACTACTGCTAGGCATGGGACTTGCCTTTCAGTGTGGTTTATATACTCAGTGAGATGCAGTTGAACAAAATTAATTTTCCTTTGCAAGTAGTTATCAATTGGAGAAAGCTTCTAGGTTAGGGATTGGGGATTTGCATCCACTTCTCTCAGTTCTAAGGATGCCATCTGATGCAGACCCCTGTATGCTCAGTACATGCTCAAACTCTGTGAGTTTGTATATCTGTAGATCCTGTTAAGTGTTTGGAAGAAACTGTTTTTGGTGTCTTCCTCCCCACTAGTTCTTACAGTCTTTTTGCCTCCTTTTCCGACCCATTCCCTGATCCCTGAGGGGAAGAATTTGATGGCGACATCTCATTTAGGGCTGAGTATTCTAAGGTATCTCACGCTCTGCATAATGTCTGGTTATGGGTCTCTGTATTTGTTCCCATCTGCTGTAGGAGGAAGATTGCCTGTTGATGACTGAGCAAGGCACTGATGTATGTGTTCAGCAGAATACATTAGGAGTCATTTCACTGTTATGTTTCTTTAGCAGAACAGTAACATTTGGTTTTTCACCAGGTCTCTGGTCTCAGGTTCTTGGCCACCCAAGCAGCATTGGATGTAGGTTCCATCTCATGGTGTGGACCTTAAATTCGATTAGTTATTGGTTGGTTACTCCCACAGCTTTTCATTACCAGTACACCAGAATATCTTCCAGGCAAGTCACTACTGTAGATCAAAGGGTTTATACCTGGGTTGGTGTTTACCTTTCTCCTCTGGTCGTGTGCAGAGTAACTTCCAGTAACATGGACATTAGTCAGTAGAGGTGAAGGCCCTAGGTGTACACCAGCTTGACTTCTCCATGTTCAGAGAGTTATGTAGTTTCCATATGAACCCCCAAATGGCCATTAGTTTAAGCTATCCCTCCCTATATTCCCTCCCTTGTCCCCTCTTCTCTCCCTTCCCCATTTGACATTCTCCTTCTACACTCTGCCCCCATTTATTCATAACTATCCTATTTCCCTTTCCTAGGGAAATTCATCCCTCCTTTCTAGTCCTTTATTCTTAAAACTAACCGCTGTGGGCCTATGGATTGTAGCTTACTTATTGAAGACTTAAGAGCTAACATTCACATATAAGTGAATACATAGCATTTTTGTCTTTTGGGGTCTGTGTTACCTCACTCAGGATGATTTTCCCCCAAGCTCCATGTGTTTATGTGTGAACTTCATCTTCATTTTTAATGGCTGTGTAATACTCCATCCTGTAATTGTACCACATTTTCTCTATCCATTCTTCTGTTGAGGGACATGTAGGTTATTTCCTATTTCTGGATATTATGAATGAAGCAGCAATGAGCATAGTTGAGCATGTGTCTCTATGGTAAGATGAAGAATCCTTTGACTATATGCCCAAGACTGGTTTAGCTGAATCTTGAGTTAGATGAATTTTCATCTTCCTGAGGAACCATCACATTAATCTCCATAGGAGCTGACTTTACAGCAATGGAGGAGTATTCCTCCTAATCCACACCTTCACGAGCATGAGCTCCTACTTGTTTTATTGATCTTAGTCATTCTGACAGGTGTAGAAGGGAATCTCAAAGTTGTTTTAATTTGCATTTTCCTGATGACTAAGGACGTTGAACATTTCTTTAAGTATTTCTCAGCCATTTGAGTTTCCTATATTGAGAATTCTGTGTTTATCCATGTATCCTAGTTTTTAATTGTTTTTTTTTGATATCTAGTTCTTTTTCCATTTTGTATATTAGTCCTCTATTGGATATGTAGTTGGTAAAAACCTTTTCCCATTCTTTAGGCTACCATTTTGCATGGCAGAGTCCTTTGTTTTGTAGAAGCTTCTCAGTTTCATGAGGTCCCATTTATGAATTGATCTTAGTGGCTGTGCTAACGGTGTTCTGTCAGAAAGTCTTTTCCTGTGTCTGTCCATTTTTCTATCTTCTTTTGAGAATGCCTACTAAAGTATATTGCCCATTTAAAATCAGGCCATTTGTGCAAAGACTTACTTCAAAGATAGATCTGTTATGGCTGCACATGGTGACAGGAATTTGAGGTGGGACATGTATTCTCATGGAAAATTCTAGACTGCTTTTCTCAAAGGCTTCTTTCATAATTCATTTTCAAAATTCTCTGCTACTGTTTTGGGACAACTTCTACCTTTTTATGCCTTTCAGCTTCCAAAGGAAAGAACAACAGAAGAATAAAAGCAGTAGAAGCTTCTCTAATGGTTCTTTTTGTTGTTATAGTGCAAACATGATCTCATCTGCTGCCCTCCCATCACAAGATGTTTGCTAGGACCCTCTTTTCAGGACTGAGTAGCAGTCCCCTCCCTGTCTTCCTTTACTCTAACCCTAATTCAGACATTCCTCTTTCCCACCCCATATAAGGTTACTTCCATGAAGAGCTGTAGACTTTGGCTCTGTGTGGATGAGTTGCATGACTTATGCAATCAGGGTGATGAGGTTTCGTCTTCATGTGAAAAGGTTCTTGATTAGTCTGAAATGTGGTATCTACTTCTTAGCAGGTTGCATCTGACTGGAATCCCAGCTCTGTATTTGCATCTGACTCAATTCCAGCTTGTTATCAGAATCTGTAATCCCAGGGGTATTATGTTTATTGGCCAAAGGTTTCACTTTATGTACATGGAATAATTGAGACAGACTTCTTTGCTATTTTGGTATGAACCTGTAGAGCCTCTCCTGATCTTCATTCACTGTTCCTTTGCCCAGCACAGGATACCTGCTCTCCCAGGCTGGGGAGATGGTACA